TGCCATATATGTATATACATGTATATATACAGTGCCATATATGTATATACATGTATATATACAGTGCCATATATGTATATATGTATTTATGGCATTGTCTGTTGTGTTCTTTGGCCATTTTTCAATTGGCAATCTTGTGTTTCTCTAAACTGATTTGTAAAATAAAACTTTTGATACATCAGGATTTTTGACCCTTTAATTACAAGCTTTTGCAGATATTTCCTCAAGTATTTGCCCTTCTTCTTTGGATTATTTGGGGTATGTCTTTGACACGCATCAGGCCTTTCCAGGTCCTGCTTGGTGTAGAAGCACAGGAAGGAAGGCCGATAGATGAGACTGTCCAAAACCTTCAGATTTCAGAATCTAAATGCTTTTCTTCTCTCACTTAAGTTGTGTGCTTCATGTATGTTGTGACTGACTTTGAGGGTCAGCAGTTTTACAGCCTGACAGCTCTGCCTCTGAATGTTCAGATCTGCACTCTGGACAGAGCAGCCACCATAGTTGACCGGGGAGTGTGTGTGACCCTGCCAGGGGTCCCGTTTTTTTGTCTGATGATTCTGGGGGCTTAATACTGAAGGAAGAGATTCCCAGGGCTAGGCTGTGAAACTCAACTGCCATAGGGGTTTGTGATATTACAAAATTCTGCCCTGAGGAGGCCAAGAACACTCTCAGCACACACCTGACTCTAAATTTCTCCATCCAGCCTGAAAACAGCCTCCTGTCAACCCCCCAGCCCAGCGAGACTCTCATGCTGCTGGCGGCTGAGCAAACCAGTGGCAGTTTCTCACAGCTCTCAGGAAAGCCCCAGCTCACAGCAGACAGGTGGGTGCTTCGTGGGGTCAGCTCCAGATCCCTTCCTCCAGCGTGAAGTCATGGGGTCAATGACACCCTCTACCAACCTAGCTCAGTTCCTTTGTATTCTAGATAGTCATGCACATGGCTTTTTCTGTCAAAAAAAAAAAAAAAAAAAGCCATGTGCATGACTATCTAGAATACAAAGGAACTAGTCTTTGAAAACAAGGACTTTGGCTGTTTGATCTGAATATTCACTCCCAAGGCAAACCCCAGAGTTTTCTAATGACAGGTGTTCAATAAAAGGAGTGAGGATGAGAAAATTAATGCAAAGTAGTGTAAGCTGACAAAGCAGACTCGTGGTGGAGTTAGCTATTGACTATTTCCAATCCAAGCTCGCAAGGGTCCCTGGGGTAAAACCCTAGTTCTCTTGGTCTCATCTGCCTCTTCTTCTTCTTTTATTTTATTTTATTATCATTATTATTATTATTTTTGGAGACAGAGTTTCACTCTTGTGACCTAGGCTGGAGTGCAATGGCCTGATCTCTCGGCTCACTGCAATCTCCACCTTCTGGGTTCAAGCGATTGTCCCACCTCAGCCTCCCAAGTAGCTGGGATTACAGATGCCCACCACTGCACCCACGTAACTTTTTGTACTTTTTGTTTGTTCATTTTTGAGAAGGAGTCTTGCTCTGTCACCCAGGCTAGAGTGCAGCGGCACCATCTCAGCTCACTGCAACCTCTGCCTCCCAGATTCAAGCAATTCTCCTGCCTCAGTCTCCTGAGTAGCTGGGATTACATGCGTCTGCCACGGCGCCTGGCTAATTTATGTATTTTTAGTAGAGACAGTGTTTCACCATGTTAGCCAGGCTGGACTCGAACTCCTGACCTTGTGATCACCAGCCTTGGCCTCCCAAAGTGCTGGGATTACAGGCATGAGCCACCATGCCTGGCCAATTTTTGTATTTTTAGTAGAGGCGAGGTTTCACCATGTTGGACAGGCTGGTCTCGAATTCCTGACCTCAGGTGATCCAACCACCTAGGCCTCCTAAAGTGCTGGGAATACAGGCATGAGCCACTGCACCCAGCCTTCACCTGCCTCTTCTGCAAAATGGACAGAATAAAGGAAACAACCAGTATCTCCAAAGTTTCATTAATTTACTAACTAATAATTGTATTAGATTCTTTCTGTAACAAGTGTTAGAAACTCAAAGAAAGATAGTGCAACCAATATGCTGAACAAGTGCAACTTGTAGGGTATCATCAGAATGCAAATCTATTTTGTCTGCCCTTCATAACTTTTTCAGTGGGAGAAGTTTTCCCCTTTCCCCTGGGTAAAAGCTGGCTTTCTGGACAGGCCACATAGCATATGGGTTCTCTCTGAGAATATAAAATGTCCTTTGTCCCATTTAAATTGCAAAAGCAGCCTCAATTCTGAAATTAAAATATCTAATGTCTAAAAATTATCAAAACTCTGAACTTATCACACCTCCTCCTTAGCTCCCTATCAAGGTGACCTTTCCTAGAGGGGAACTGGGTTGTCACTCTTCTTTTTCTGTTTCCTGTTTAAAGTTAACTTCTTTCCTCTTAGGAACTTCTTTCTTTCCTTCCTTCCTTCCTCCCTCCCTCCCTCCCTTCCTTCCTTCCTCCCTCCCTCCCTCCCTCCCTTCCTTCCTTCCCTCTCTTTCCTTCCTTCCTTCCTTTCCTTCTTCTTTCTTTTTTTCCTCCCCTCCGCTCTCCTTTCCTTTCCTTTCTTTTCAACAGTATCTCACTCTGTTGCCCAGGCTAAAGTATAGTGCCATGATCTTGGCTCACTACAGCCTCAATTTCCTAGGCTCAAGCAATCCTCCTACCTCGGCCTCCCAAGTAGCTGGGACTCCAGGCACACACCATCATGCCTGACTATTATTATTTTTTTTATTTTTAGTAGAGACAAGGTCTTGCTATGTTGCCTAGGCTGGTCTCAAACTCCTGAGCTCAAGTGATTCTCCCACCTTGCCTCCTAAAGTGCTGGAATTACAGTCATGAGCCATCACAGCTGGCCAGGAGCTTTCTTGGGTTCTTTGCAATCTTTTTGACCCCTCAACTGCAACACTTCCCTTTCATCTGGCCACCCAGCAACTACCTGCCCCCTCCCCTGGCCAACTGTGGCTCTGCAGGGTCCATGCTGTCCCAAGCATTAGCTATCCCATCACCCCTTTAAGGAGTCCTCTTGGGTAGGGCTTACAGTGGCTCCAGGCTTGTATGTACTTTCTCTCTCTCCCTCTGGCACAGTCCACATCTGATCCTCAGGAAACATCTATTTTGACCAGGCACTGGAGAGGAAGACGTTGCTTCCTAGACACAGAAGCAACTATTCTCCCAGAGCCCTGGAGCCACAGCTCAAGCTCCCTGGTTTGTCCCAGGAAGGCCCTCTCTTTCAGCTTGAGGAGAAGGAGCCAGCAGCTCTTTACAAAGGCCTCTCCCCATGTGATAGCCCAAGCCCTTGGTTACCAAGGTTGGCAATCCCTCAGGCAGCCCAGCTCACTCTCATTTCCCTGATCGTAAATTTTTGGTCCCCTGGATTTTGTCTTGAGTCATAATACGTTAGATTCTCAACACATTGCAGCAATGCTTAAGGTTCGAAGAGTTATTTGTTCCTCCAGCAGGGCAGGCCTTAGCTCCGGGCTCCCTCCTCCTTTCCTCTGTGGCTTTCTCTCCTCAGGTTGCCTTTAACATCATTCCACATATGCATATTGTTACTGCCCCACATTTCCATATTTCCACATATGTTCAAGGCACTGGCGTTGGAAAAAGGCATAATTAGAAAGTGGGTGGGTTTTTTTGTTTTGTTTTGTTTTTGCGATGGAGTCTTGCTCTGCCACCCAGGCTGGAGTGCAGTGGCACCATCTCGGCTCACTGCAGGCGCTGCCTCCTGGGTTCAAGCGATTCTCTTGCCTGAGCCTCCTGAATAGCTGGGATTACAGGTGCGTGACACCATGCCCAGCTAATTTTTGTATTTTTAGTAGAGACAGCGTTTCACCATGTTGGCCAGGCTGGGCTCGAACTCCTGACCTCAAGTGATCCACCCACCTCGGCCTCCCAAAGTGCTGGGATTACAGGCGTGAGCCACTGTGTCCAACCGAAAGTGATTTTTAAGTTAAATTTTAACAATGTTTTATTTTTCTTCTGTTGCTTTCAATAACCCCAAAATTCCCTGGCCTCCAACAGGAACGATGACACTGCCATTGAAACAGGCAATTACAGAAGCTGTAAGATACCCTCGCCAGTGGCATCTCCAATCAATTTGAATATACCCATGAGAGCTGCTTTGAGCCACAGCCTCTGGGAATAAGAGGACCCTCATGAGCACTTTCTACAAGTTCCTGCAGCCAGTTCCCTAGGAGAGCACTTCTTGGGACCCTGACACCAGACAAAACATGCTCTCCCTGGCATGGGTGTACTTGCTACCACCTCTTATAACACTCCTTTCCCACCGTGGGTCAGAGGACCATGGGAGAGGTGAGATGGTGTTTCCAACAAGGTGCCTCTGTCCTTCTGCCAATAAACCTCCAAGTGAGTCTCTAATTGTTGTAGGTTGTGCTATTGGGAGGCTCCAGTTTGGGAAAGGACTGACTGGGAACAGGAGCACAGTTTTTGGAAAAATAGGTGGGAAAAACTACTGTCTGTGTATCAGTCCATTCTTGCATTTTTATGAAGAAGTCCCTGAGACTGGGTATTATTCATTTATTTATTTATTTATGATGGAATCTCGCTCTGTTGCCAGGCTGGAGTGCAGTGGTGAGATCTCGGCTCACTGCAACCTCTGCCTCCTGGATTCAAGCAATTCTCATGCCTCAGCCTCCCGAGTAGCTAGGATTACAGACATGAAGCACCACACTCAGCTAATTTTTGTATTTTTAGTAGAGACAGGGTTTCACCATGTTGGTCAGGGTGGTCTCGATATCCTGACCTTGTGATCCTACTGCCTCGGCCTCCCAAAGTGCTGGGATCAGAGGCGTGAGCCACTGCGTCCACCCTGCCTCCCTGGTTTCTTTCTTACCTATGTATTCCAAAACTTCTAGACCAAACGGTAAATTTAAATGCCACAAGCATACCCTATGTACAAAAATGAGGGAAGGATTAATTTAAATAGCATACATCACTGCAAAGAAAGAAATACAGGTGGAAGTTTTAGTTCTTATTTCGGCTTCTTGGTTGTAAGTCAGTAGTAGTTGTTATTTATGACTTCCCTCCTATACTACCATTCCAGGTACCTCTTCCTTTGACAGACTTCTTTCCCTGGTAGGGAGTCCACAGACTTTCACTCCTGAAAAGTCTAAGCTCTTGATGGTTTTACACATGGAGAGTTGTGTGATTTTCTGTTGACAGAGCAGGAGCTGTGAAGAGGCATCTCAGTCTCCTCTGAATACCATTCCTACACTCCTCTCTGCCTCCGTTTTATAGAGCCATCTTTTTGCTTTTAATAATAGCAGTCGATCCACTCCAACAACTCCAAAACCCCCTTCTACACATAACACTATGCACTCCTAATGGCAGGAGGAGCCAAAAATGGCAGCCGCAGCTCAGTCTTCAGTTAGTGGAATGATTTTTGTGTCCCTGGTAAAATCACTTTCACCCTTAGGTATTAAAATCTCCAAATTTTATATGTGCAATAATTTTTTTTCTTTTTAAAATATCTTTTCCCACATGTTCTATGCAATTTTTCATACAATTCTTTCTAAAGAAACTCCTGGAGGATGTACTCCATTAAAATGAAGTCAACTCAGAAAAACATGGCGTCAGGAAAGGGGTGGGTTCAATGCAGGAAAAAAGTAAAGGCAATATCCAGGTGAAGAAAGATGAAGAGAGAGCCAGAATGACAGAACAGCAGCCCCAGGAAGCAGTCAGCTCTTACTGGAGCAGGAGAGAAGACTCTGCTAAAGGCATCTCCACAAAGATCAAATTGATGGAATACCTGATATGTATGAATGCACTAAGAGAGTCACACACATGGCAAAGTTTAGGGGTGTGTTAGGAACAGGACTATTAAACCAAGCAAACAAAAAATAATATAACTATTTACTCCAAGAGGAAGAAGTTGTACAAAAAAAAGAAATATAATTTAAGTATATACTGTATCTTTGAATATTCATAATACTGTACACATTGAATACAGATTGAGTCAAAGTAGAGGATGGTTGATGGGCAATTTGGGGGATGGGGGAAAGGTGGAAGGAAAAAACAGTGAAGATTAAATCCTTCTCTTCCATGGCTGGAAGTTCTGTGCCCCAGAATTCCCATGGTTCCTGCATGTTCTCCAAGCTGATCTACATCTAAGGGCTCATTGCTTCTGGTTTCCAGGTGGATTTGGCCAGTGGGAGGCCCAGGCAGGAGATTAGAGAGGATGAGGAGAATGAGGTCGGGACAACTGTTGCCTCCCTTGTGGTCACGTAAGGTAGGCTGTTAACAGCGGGAAACTGTCAGAGGCATTTGAACCAGAACAACTCCGTCTTGATTGGGAGCTGGGTACAATAAGGCTGAGACCTACTGGGCTCCATTCCCAGGAGGCTAGGAATTCTTAGTCAAAGGATGAGATAGGAGGTTGGCACAAGATACAGGTCACAAAGACCCAGCTGATGAAACAGGATGCAGTGAAGAAGCCAGCCAAGACCCACCAAAACTAAGATGGTGATAAAAGTGACCTCTGGTCTCCCCACTGCTCATATATGATAATTATAATGTGTTAGCATGCGAAAAGGCTGCTATTCTCTAATAAACTTGCTTTCACTTATGGACTCTCCCTGAATTCTTCTTGCACGAGGTCCAAGAACCCTCTCTTGGAATCTGGATCAGAACCCCTTTCCAGTAAGAAAACTCCTCCTCTGGTGGTGGCTTCCTCTACTAGACTCTCCTGGATCCAATAACCACTCCCTCCCGTCACCCTTCAGATCCCTGGTATGGACTTAGCTAACTGGATGCCCCCTTCCTGAATTGTGTAACGTGAGCAGGAACGTCAGTCATCTCCATGCAGGCGTGGCAGTGGAGACACCATCCTGGCGAGGCAGTTCCAGCTGCGAGACAGTTGCTGGGCTTCCCTCCAGCTTACTGCTTTTTGGTTCTGGCCTATTCTCCATGCCTGGTTCCCTTAACCTTCAGTTGGTGTGAAGAGCTCTGCAACAGTCTTCCGATAAATTCCCTTTGGCTTGGGTTGGCTGCACACTTTCTATATGTAGAACCATGAAGTCTAATTGATGTGGTTCTGTGCCCAGAAATGTGGATGATGTGTAGGGAAACATGCCAGCCATATGTGTCTATTCATTGTGTATCTGCCAGTGCCTGGGTCCGTCCTACTAGACTGACCCAGTTAAAGTGTCTGTTTCTTGTTAAATAAATCCATTTCTGCCGTAGCCGGCTCTGGCTGCTCCACATTGCTTCTCCCACAAAACAAGGGAAGAAACAACAGCTCTTGCTGACTGGCTCATCTTTGAAGCTGATTTCTCAGAATCTGTTTCTTAGATGAAATTAACACCACACAAAGGATCAGTAAAACTTCTAATGACCAACATACACACCATTTAAAAGAGAAAAGGAACAAACCCTTGTTATCCAGAGTCAAGTAAACTCCACCAGAACATGACATGTGCAAAAACACTCCTCAAGACAATGTAAAAATGCTTCTTAAAGTTTCTGGGATGGAATTCAGAGAAAACATCCTCACCGATAACACCCAAATGGACGCTCTTCCAATTGTGATGGAAATGAGATGAAAGCTTCACAAATGCCTTTGTAAGTCTTGAGAAAAATAATAAGTAGAGGGTTAATTCGGGCTGTATGGATGTTGATGAGGCAGCAGCCAGGGAAGCAGAGAAGCTGGGAGCGTGAATGTATAGAAGCGCGCAGTTCTGGGGGATTCATGAATGACCTCCCAGAAACACAGGTCGTCAAAACACAGGGGGCCCATCTTGAGAAATCCAACATCATGGCCTCAAAAGTGGTTCCAATCACTGAGAGGGGTAAAGCTTCATAATTTAAAATGAGCATTTAGAGTTATTAAGGCTGAGGCCATTTACAGAAGCTGTAACCTGAGTGGAAACCACCAGAACTACCACAAACTACAGAGAGCCTAAGAGAAGGCTGTTCTGGATTTTGCTCTGTCTCGGATTCCTGCCTGATTTAGAACAAATCAATTTATTTTCCCATTGGGCATTCTAACAGAAAATTAGATAATTTCCTTTTAGTAAACTATCACTGAATTTTTAAATTATATCCAAACAAAACACTGTTCTGGTGTTAATAATTGCAAGAGCAGCCAGAAAGACACCATGTATCCATGACATGCAAATAAATATTCACAGTTGGCGTATTCTAAGTTGCTTTTATAACCTTTCTAAAGTCTCCAAATTAAGTCCACTGCCTTGGACAAGGAAGGAAAGGAATGTCTATGACATGCATCCCTCCTCTCACTCCATTCAAGGGCCATATCTGGATGCAAGAAGAATGCGGTGTTTTGGGGTCCTGCCACTCGGTCTGCAGCCATCCTGGTACCTAAGCTTAAGTTCCATGAGCGGAAGCTGCTGGAGCAGGTGGACTTCCTGAACTGGGAGGTCACGGACCTGCACAGGCTGCCTCCCTGGCTGCGGAGGGAGGCTGGCACACGCTGCAGCCAGCCAAGCCTCCCATGCCAGAGCGGCCCAAGCACTGCTGGACAAGCTGTACACTCTGGGCCTGGTGCCCACACACAGCTTGCTCAAATTCTGCAACATCGTCAGGGCTTTATCCAGGCCTTGTCCTTGTCGCCACTGCCTCCTGCCCACCATACTGCTCAGGCTGCAGGGCTTTCATGGAGCAATGCCATGTGTGCATGGGCTCCTGGTGTGGTTACCGACTCCACCTTTCTTTGTCCTGTGCCTCATGGAGGACTTTGTCAGCTCATCCAAGTTCATGGCACATGCTGTGGTACAACGAGGAGTGCAACGACTTCGATCTGGAAGACTTGCTGGTCTCCCAGTCTCCACAGCTGCCTGTCTTTTACAGCTGGGAAAACTGATGCTGGAGATTCTGTGAGGGCGCTCTCCCCAAGAGTGTCAGCCCGTTGTAGGTTCTTAGATTCCTCAACGGCAGGCCATGCACAGAGCCAAGGTGGGGAGAGGGCGTGGTCCCTGTTTTCCAGGAACTTTTCTTAGTATTCTTAGTACTTGGATTACTGGTTATTAAATGACTGTGCCTTGGGAGACAGTGGAAAGTGATTTGGTTCTGCAGTGTAGAATTGTTAGCTTGTGTTGGAAACTTTGTAGTGTAAAAGCAAGAATTCCAGCTGGGCACGGTAGCTCAGCCTGTACTCCCAGCACTTTAGGAGGCTGAGATCAGCAGTTCAAGACCAGCCTGGCCCACATGGAGAAACCCACCTCTACTAAAATACAAAAAATTAGCTGGGCATGGCAGTGTGCACCTGTAATCCCAGCTACTCGGGAGGCTGAGGCAGGAGAATGGCTTGAACCTCAGAGGCAGAAGTTGCAGTGAGCCGAGCTCGTGCCCCTGCACACCAGCCTGGGAGACCAAGCGAGACTATCTCAAAAACAAAAAGA